GCGATTACAATTTCACAAATGGCTTTTTAAGAATAAAGCCTCTTATGTAGCTTTAAAGTTCTTTTTCATAAGGAAGTAGTGCAAATGTGAAAATGCTTTAAGTAAAAAACATTTCTAAAACATTTCTGAGTCGCCCAACCAGCATAGTTAGTGGTTAGCGATGCTCACTCCTGTACAGAACGACCCTAGCTCGAATCCTGGAGAAATGCATCGATGTTTGTAAATGTATAGTGTCTGTGCGGCATGGGGGCACTTTAAATAAGCGGCGACACGAAAGTTCTCTCCAAAGGTTGGTGGTAGGAGAAGAGAGGTGGGAGAGCCTAGGAAATGTCCCTCCAGCATGCTCTCCATCAAAATTGGGGGTTGAACTGAGCAAAGCTGTACTGTCACCTGTACGGTGCTCAAGGTTCCTGCCAACGACAGGTGCATGCACTCCTTGCCACGATGAATTTCGTGGGCTTGTTCTGATGTTAGTATCAATCAAGTGATATCAGACAGAGATAAGTCACTACAACCTGTTTTCTGAGAACATACACAAATGTTTCTTTTCATAGCATGTAATTAATAGAGTATACATTCCTTTTATACTGTATAATTGCAAATGTTTTGTATGATTGATAGTTTTACTAGTTAACCAAACATTTAAATCAAGACAGACATCTCTGTGTTCCAAGTTTTTCTGTAAAACATCTCTGTTATACGTTTTCCTTCTGATCATACATTTTTTTCATATTGTATGATGCTGTGTATGAATCACCAATGCAATTTTTGCATTTCTTAAAACTGTGAATTAGATATATAAATAAGGGTTTAGTTGCTAATATCTATAGAATAGTTTTAATTAGTTTTAAACTTTAAAACATTAATAATGTTCCACATACATTTATATGGTTTTTTGATATTAAAGAAAGTAATGTAACAAAATCGACTACTTAATATCCTTGAAATTCGAGTTCATATATAACTACAAATTCTTAAAATTATGAACAGATATGCATTATACACACAATGGTACTGGATGAAATTTTTAATTTTATGCACTTTTGTTATCTTTTAGAACAAGAGTTCTCAATCAGTGGTAATTTCAATTTGGCCTTTAGCTAAAAGGAAAAGCCATTCCAACTATTTCTGATGGTGACTGTTACTGACCAAAATGTGTTCAAAAGCAATGTAATAAATTATAAATAGTCCCTGCCACATTACTCCATTCCTTAATCATTGTATGTAGCCACTCCCTTCCCTGCTTTGCCCTATCACAACTTATCACATACAGTGATTTTAGCAGCTAACTGTAATTTCAATATTGAATTATCAAATCAGTAACACAGCTTTCTTTAAATTGTGATATGCAAACCAGTTTAAGTACGAGTTTTATTTTGAACTCACATTCTTTGAAAACTGCTAGATGTAAAAGATCTGTTTAAGTAAAAACGGATAAATAGTTTAACAGTAGATCTTTGCATAGAACAAAAGCTACTAGTGGATAATAATTCTGATTTTGCATCTGCAGCAAGCAAGTTTTAGGATACCATCCATTTTAGTTAAGACTGAAATTTCACAATTATGATTGGCTTCAAGGACTTGCATAATTATCGAATACTTTTTCAAAAATAAATGAACTTAATTTAGGATTAACAAACAGTTCAGTAACTGTCTTCAAGGTGTCTGACAAAACTGATTCTATGCTCGAAAACCTAGATTTTTAGATATAGAAATAAAGCAGACTAAAATATTCGAGACACTTTACAGATTCTTTCCAGAATGTGTAGTAGTGTAGTGTATTTAGTTATGGCAAAGCACACGAGGCTATCTGCCTAACAGGAGGGATGCCTTCGTGGAGGACTTTCTAAGGGGAACTGGCTCGTATACACGCTACACATGGGGAAAACCATGAAAACACCCATGCAGCCAGCCCGTTCGCGGGATTCGAATCTCGGACCGAACTACCAGTGTTCAGCGACTTTACCACTCGGCCGCTGGTGGGCCTCTTTCCAGAATGAATTTCAGTTTAGAGGGACAGTCAAGGAGAACATAAAAACGAAATTAAAAGGCCTATAAAGCTTGTTCAAGCACTACTAGTGGATTTTAGATCTTTTCAATGACATTTTCTTTAAAGCTGCCTCAAAATTAGCATTCTCTGTAAAAAAAAAAATGGCTAATCTTTGGAATATGGTAACAGGTAGTTTGGTGACATTTTGGTAAGGTGATAAAGGTTACTAGCTAGGACTTTAGCAGTGTACATGGATAAAGTCAGGAGTGTGCGCAATGCCATTTTTGTGCAATTCTGGGATATTTTTTTTAAGTGAAAATAGGTCGACGTGTACATGTATGATACTGTATGTGCAATTCTTAAAAACGCAGCAAGCAGTGGGCGATTCTGCACTTTCTCTCAATGTCACACCTAATCTTCGTCATGATTAAGCACTTTTGTTCCATAAAAGTTCCAGCATAAGCATAATTTGGCTAGCAGATTGTTGGAAAAAAAAGTTGAGTAAAAAAAACATGCTTTTACTTCGTGAAAACATAATGGCGTCCAAAAAAAAAAAAAACTAGAAGGTTGCTGTAGCAAAGTTGGTCGCGAAATTTTCACCAAGTTACCATAATCCAAAGATTAACCAAGAAAATCTTATATTTTTCAGACTTACCTCATTTATTCAGTTATTCTTTTTTTCATTTATTAATTTTATGGAATTAAAATAATGACGAGGTGGAGGAGATCACGGGTTTTGAAGGAGATATTCACACCAGCAAAATATCATTTAGAAGCACACGACAGGAAAAAAAAAAAAAAAAAACTTGGGAAACACTGTTCCTTGGACTTTTCGTAATGTAGAAGTTTCAAAGCAAATGAAAATACATTTTTTTCCCGAAAATGCATCTTCTTCATATTGAATAGCTCCCAACATTTAAATATGAAAACTCGAGGGATTTTCACATGGAAACCGGGTGGTTTTAATGTTGAGCAGTATCGCCATTTCAAAAGTTCTCGAAATTCATTTGCATTCACTTTATAATGCATGATTCAAGTAACTGCACTGTTTATAATATGCTTCTGATGTAAATAATTTATCATTCTGTGGTGGTATTGTCCTCGAATCAGATGTTTATTATTGCGTACCTATTTTTACTTTTTATGGCAGTGGTTGTGAAACCAAAAGACAGAATTCAACATTCAGTAAGAATGTAAGCATGTCATGGCAATTCTATTAGTGTGTCTAAAAGCCAACATTTTATTTCTTTTGTGTCCTGATTTATCGTTTCAAAATTCAAGTGTTTTCAGGTAACTAAAAGTTTATAGAAATTCAAGGTAAACTATTTAATAATTATTAATTATTGAACTTACCACAAAAAGGTATTATAAATTTTATGTTCTTTGGCTAATTTTGTTTTATAATTTGTTTATTCTTTTACACTAAAAAAATCGATTAGTAAAGGAAGCTTTTATTTATTAAAGTAATATAGAAAGAACATAAATTTAAGAAATTATTACTGGGTGGCTAAACTTCATACTGCATCATGTATTTATGTAAAACAAAATTAAATACAAATATATTTTTAACCAATTAAACATCGGTTGAATCTCATAAAACAGTTCTGTAAATGTCAAGAAAATTCAGACCACATAAAAGTGAGTAAAAATCATGGTGAAAATTACTAGGGGTGGGGGAATGAAATTTGCACAATTTAAGTTTTATTAATGCAATAAATTTTACTTATTGCTGGAAATATTTTAGTTTATAAAGGCTAAAAATTAAAAACTGGGATGTTTGGTAATCTACCAGGTGATTGGGAGATGTGATAAAACTGAGAAATTTTGCAGCTATCAGTCTCGAAATATGAAAAACAAAGAAGTTTTCTCGCTGCTCAGCCATACCTATGATGTGTAATATGTATAATTAGATATTCTAAATTTTATGTTCTTTGGTTAATTTCTTTTGTCATTTCCTTACACTTTTATACTGAAGAAATCCTGAATGAGGAAAGAAAGTTTCAATCAATCAAAACACTTTCAGAAATGATGAAAATATATCTAATATTGTGTTGATAAACATGATAATGTAACAAATACTGATGTAAAATGAAAGTAATTACAAATATTAACTGATTAAACATTAGCTGAAGCTTTAGAAAAAATTCTACAAATGTCCACGGTAGGTTAAGATAATTCAGAACACATAAAATTTTGGTGATCAACTGGGAGATGGGCTGAAAAACAACTCTCAAGGACAGCTATCTATAAGCTAGCTAAATCCAAGTGAAGAGAAATTTGAATTTTTTCATCTGTTTTCCACAGAATTATAAACTCTGTTAAACATCTAATCACTAAAACATTTATGCTCGCATCTCTGGCATTGAAAAATAAATTTTTGTAACTTTACTTTTAAAATTTTATTTATTTATTTATTTTCAAATAAAGTCTTCATTTACCTTGCAAATGGCTGTTTGTGAAGAATTTAAATCAAGCAACTGCATTAATTTTGAGCAGCAGGCATTTTATTTCTTTCCTCTTAAAAAAAAAAAAAAAAAAAAAAAAAAAAAAACTTGCCTTTATTTCTGAGACTTCTATTAATTCTTATGCCAATAAAGTGTAACCTTAATTTCTCTTTGAAATGATCAACAGTACATTGAATTTCTTTTAAACATGCATTTTTTTTTCAGTTACAATGAACTAGGGCTTTTTATTTTACCTACAAATTCAAAACATCAAGAAATGCTCAAACAAGTCAGTTTGTTATTTTTTTAATATTTATGTATTAAGTTTGCTTATAATTCTCATTTACTGAGGTTCGTACGCATTTTGAGACTACAGCAAACTGCAAGGAATCATTGGAATTAATTTTCCATCAGCTTTAGAGATACAACAAAAAATTTCTACAATTCACTGCATTTACATTTTAAATTATTCCCCATTTATTTATTTGTACAATAAAATATATAACAATAAAAATGTCTTCTTAAAACAAGTTTGCTAAAATAACATAAAACTGCGATATTCTAAATCACATCTTAGAATAAATACTTTTATTTTTCATAACAAAAAATTAATATTTACAACTTATACTTTTGAATCAATTGAAGAAGAACATAATTTGGAATAAGAAGTTTATGAGCAAGTGTTTCATTTGTCATTGGACTAGTGTCCCTGCCACTTTCAAGCCATTCTTGAATTGCACATTTTTCATAGCTGTAGCCATCTGTGATGTTAAAGGGGAAAAGTAACCAGATTAATATAAAAAAAGTAACCAGATTATGCACAATGTTCACAATACACATATATGCAACAAACATAATAAAAGTGCAAACAATGACATATTTGGCAGAGAATAAATACAAAATATCATCAATACTTTTATGCTAAAATGTGAAATAAATGTAAACAAACAAAAAACAAATAGAAAATTAAATGTCTTAATTTTTTTCAATCTATATTACAATAAAAATTTACATATGTTATGTTTTCTAGAATTAACACTGCAAAACATAAATTTTAAAAACAGTTTAAATACTGTTTGAGTATAATCTATATGATTATTCAATGAATTCTTTTTAGGTAAGATGTTTCTCACTTGTCAGTTGAAGTACTTAAACATATGTTTGAACTTGCAATAACTAATAGGTAATAAAAATAACATTTTTGCACATTTAGCCTATAAATAACATTTCTAAGCCCATTTAGCCAATAAATAACAATACTATATACTCATCTATATTCTGAATTTCACTTACAAACATATATGCCTTCTCTAGGATTTGAACCTGAGACCATTCGTATGGCAGTCAGTATCATTAAGCTCTATACTGTCTGGGTGGCTAGTGTAACTTGGTTTGGTTTAATTGAGGCAAAGGATGCTAAAGTTATCTGCCTAAGAGGAAGGATGCTTTTGTGAAAGGCTTTCTGAGAGCAACTAGTTCATATACATATTCCCACATGGGGAAAACCATGAAAATGCCCATGCAGCCAGCCCCTTCATCTGGAATTGAACTCAGGTTGGAACTGCTAGCACTCAGCAATTTTACCACTCAGCTGTAGGGCCTGCTGTGATAACTATCAACTGTTTTTAGCCTCCACACCTGCAATTTAATCACTAACTCTGTATTAGGTAGGAGGAGCAAGTTCGACAGAAAAGAACACTAGCCTTAAGCCTTTGCTGGCCTCAACTGAATCAAGCAGATTGGACCCTCCCACCTCTTTAAGTAAGATGAAAAGAATGCAGCCAGCCCCTTCGTCTGGAATTGAACCCAGGTTGGAACTACTAGCATTCAGCAATTTTACCACTCAGCTGCTAGTGGGCCTGCTATAATAACTATGAACTGTTTTTAGCCTCCACACCTGCAATTTAATCACTAACTCTGTATTAGGTAGAAGGAGCAAGTTCGACAGAAAAAGAACACTAGCTTTAAGCCTTTGCTGGCCTCAACTGAAGCAAGGAGATAGACCTTCCCAACTCTTTACGTAATATGAAAAGGATATTCAAACCTCTTACCATCTATTATACTGAATCCATTTGAATGGATCTTAAATAGGAACCTGGTTCATGTATTTCATACCTCCAAGAATAGGACTGACAGAAAGCAAATCTCAGCCAGTACAACAAATGACTGTGCAAGGAAAGAACTTAGGTTAAATAATAAGCTTTCTTCACAAAAAAATCCACACAGTTCAGAGAATGAATTCTAATTAAATTTATGTTAAAACAAAAATGTAGTTCCTCACACTTACACTCTTACGGTTTCCTTCTGCCACTATGATAAGCTGAGGTTTTAGTACCTATATCTCATAATCATTATATTGGCAGGCAGAGACTTTAGATGGATTATACATTGAATAATGACAAAAAAATTATAAATTATTTTCAGAAGAAAAGCTTTGGTATTTTAGATCTTACAAGAAAATGTACATGGCACTGCTAACTTGTATGTGATCTCAACTGCAAGTTTCATCTAAAAACTTAATTATGATTCAATGACCTCAGTAAAAAATCTGAGTACTAAGACAATATTCATGAAAATTAAATCACAGCTGATGAGTTAAAGCATAACTAAATATTACCTGCAGCAACAACAGGATTTCTCATAACTTCTTGAGTGATGGGGCAATAAAATTCACTAAGTATTCCTTCTTCGTTAGAATCAGAAAATACATGCTGCCACAAAGGATTTTTTAAGCACTGAACAGCACGCAAGATCTTGTTTCTCACACCTAAACTCTCTAGTAAAAAAAAAAAGAAAGAAAGAAAAAAAAAAAAAAAAAGAAAGAAAGAACATGGATTAACCGAGAAAAATATGACATGCACATATCAAAGAGGAATTCCATACATTTACAATGACAAAGTGATTTCATGCATTTATTCATGACTTCTCTTCTGAACTGTTGAAGATAGTTCATAATCTTTGCAATCTACACAAATTATTATTTTCTGCTTAGCGATAGTATTTTACATTTTTAGTTTCTTCCATGTTATTCTGTTTATTCTGTTAGTTTAGTATTATTCCTCACCATCTATATATACAATTTAAGTGTCAGGAATTTTTATAAAATAAATGTTCATTATTTTTGCAAAATTTAATTTAATTTTCATATAGCACAGTGACAGAATGACAAACATTACTGTACCATGACAGCACTTGTATCTTCAATGTGCAACAATTATTTTTATGTTAAAGTTTTTTTTTGGGGGGGGGTAACAGCGATAAACCTCTTCAGAGAGCTTTTGGTTATGTTTAAGAATTCAAAATGTATACAGTCAAAAGTCTTTAATCCGGACTCGTCGGGACTTCGGCGATTCCGGTTTATCGATTTTTCCAGATTATAGATCATCAGTTTAAATCTGGTAAGATGGCATGCAGAAGTTATAAAACTAAAAATATGAAACCGTAATTTATGAAATAAAGAACAATTATGATCTAAAGGATATCAAAATTTACAAAAAAAAAAGCTTAATATTTATTTTTTTTTATTAAACATTTCTTTCAAGGTAAGTTGTTTAAGATGCTTTGTTTTATGTGATAATACTTTCTCTTTAATTCTATAAAAAGACATAATTTCTTCTTCAGTTACAAAGTTCCGCTGGTCAAGTCCTATAATTGCTGTGTCGAGAATACCGACTAATTTGTCAATCGAAATTTTTTCGTTTTCAATAACTTCTGTGTCACTTTCTTCACTATCGGAAGCGAATTATAATGAGGAGGAATTTGATTTAAATCATATCAAAGACGGAGTACATCAAGATAAAATACTACATTTAGTAAGGAATTATAAGACAAATAAAATAAAAACATCTGCCCTGAAGATAAGGATAGTGCTGAAAGATCAACTTCTAATTCATTGCGCGCCATGTCGTTTCCCCTCCCCCGCAGAGCAGCGTGAAATTGATAAACATATTTCGGAATGATTAGATAATCAAAGGACATGCCTTTTATCCATTTTTTGCATCAATTCCACTTTTGGTTTAATGGACTTCGAAAAAATACTTTCGGTTTGTAGATCCTTTACATATTAGTAAATATATATCGGAAATTCTATTTGACATAATCGAAAGTTCAAGCTTACTTTTATAAAATTGCTGTAACAGTCTGCAAAAAAAAATATAAGCCAGATCCAATTCGAAGATTAAGGAACAATGCAATCTGCAACATTACCTGAATTAGATAATTTCAGCTTAGCTTATACCGTCCGTTATACATTAAACGCGCTTGCGTAAACGTATTATGCGCATGCGCACACGCATATTCGCAGCTGTAAAGGTCTTACGCGCATGCGCAGAAAGTTTGTAGATTTGAGGTCCGGATTATAGATCATTCCGGATTATGGGTGTCCGAATTAACGACTTTTGACTGTAGTATAAGCATGTCTTCTTTGATCACTTGAAGTTGAGTCTTTCTTTAGAGCTTTGTTATTTTTAAGTTCTTATTACAATTAATTTTGCTTTGAGCTGGTTCAATAAAAGGAAAGCCCCCATTAATACCTAATCAGTCAAAAAATTTCTGCATTTATTCGTACTTCCAAGGGCCATGAAGTCACAACATATTTGCTTGGTCCTTGTCAAATATACTGGAAAAACCTCACAGTATAATTTCATGTAAACAGCTTTACATAGACTGGAATACACAGCTAAATTATTCAATAAGCCAGCACATTGCAATAATATGAAAACTCACAATGTCAAGATCACATCACTAGTGCTCAGTGAATATTACTGGAGAATGAGACACCTTATAGTGATGAATGTATTAAAATTTATGAAATTCATGCTAATTTTTTTGGAGAAAATGCTGTTATAATATTCAGCATTATAAATTTATTAGACACTTACCTATTTTCAGGACAGTGAGCAAAGTTTCATGATTTAAATGCATAAGCTCTTTACCATCAATGGCATTAGAATGGAATGTTTCATTTAAGTCTTCCAGATTAAGAGATTTCAACCAGTTAAGCACATCTTCAACAGTCCATATCAGAATATTTTGCTTTTTCTCATCCATAATAAATTTCTTCTCTTTTTCAGCAATCGTTTCTGCAGCTGATTTTAACAGTTTATCTTTATCCAAAGACCATATAACAACAGTTTTATCATTTGATCCAGAAGCCATAAGAATGGAATCAGAGAAAGCAGAACATGTAACATACCTAAAAAGCATGCAACAGAAAATTAAAAAGCATTTTTCAACATGCATATTTATTTAGACCTGCATATTTCAAATTTAATACTGACAAGCGAATAAATTTAAAAAGTTAGAAAATTACATAAAAAAAGGGAGGCAGAGTTTGATTATACATTCATTACATGTACTCAGTCAATTTTTTTTTTTTTTCCAATATGAGCACTGAAGTAATAAAATTCCATATCAGATCCATCGCAACAAGAAAATAAATTTCATAAGCTTGGAAGCAAACTTAAATATAATCAAGAGAACTATAATATATGCTAAGACTATATTTTTTAGTCTAGAATACTAAAGATTGAAAAAAATTTATGTTGCTACTATATCTAAGTAAATCTTACAATGCAACACATTTATACATATATAATACATATATACACATTTAAAATTTTTTCATTAAAATGAAACTGTCATCAAACAAAACATTGTTAAGCTATGATTTGAGGAATAATTAGTAACATATTTTTTTCCCTCTTTCTGCATTGCACTGACAAAGGCTGTGAAATATCTATCCCAGGGGTGTCCAACCTGTGGCCTGCAGGTGGCCCACAAAGTGAGCATTAAGCACAAAAGAAATATTAAGCCCCCACCTCGATGATATATTTTACTACTGCAATCAGCGTTCCACACAGGCTTTCAGCATGAATGGATGCATTATTTGACTCTCCAATTTAGAGCAAAATAAAAGTGCTTTGAGTAGAATCACAGTTCCAAAACTTTTGACTGATCATCTTCATTTTGATCTAATATTTGTGAATATCTGAATAGCTGTTATAAGAAAGAAATAATTCTATATTACTATCATTATATTAAAAAATGATAAATTCATAAAGTTTAAATTTCTTAAATATGATTCTATGCTTTTTTTGCTTATCAGCCATCATTAGTGTTACAGAGTGGTGGCTCGCCATATGAATCAAGTGAATCACTGATTCACTTAAAAATTTCTCTACACATGTGCCTTTTATATATAGCAGCGATTCTCAACCGCTGGTATGGTGACACACAAGAGAAAATAGGTGGTACACAGATGGTTAAAAATCAAAGTATTTTTAACTTTTAAATTAAAAAATGTAATACCGCAAAATCCTGTTTAACTTTTTTCTCTAATACTCATAATTTTTTGCAATCTGAGCTTTGTTCAAAGTTAAGCCATTTATAGACATTACCAAAATAATCCATTATTAATTTCACAAATATTTTTTTAGCCATAGACATAACAAAATTTGTCCTAAGTGATGTTTTTAAAAGGAGCAGTAGAAATGGATGTTGTATTTAAAAGGAAATGAAAGTAATTTCCTATAAAAAGATAACAGTATCTCATTAACTCTTTTACATTTGATTGGTTTATTAGCATGTCTACACTTTATAGCACCACCATTTCCGGTCTTATATTGCTCTATTTTCAATTACGATCATTTTTACGTCGATTTTGCTGTCTCTAATGGCAGGTATTTTGTCTTCTTGTTACAAAGAATGAAAGGCTGAGTTAACCTTGCCCGGCACGGAGATCGATCCCCGGACCTGTGGTGCTGCTGTGTGACGCGCTATTACAATCTACTAGCACTAAGAATATTGAAAAGAAAAATTGTTTACAGGAAATATAAGTTATTCATCATTTGTGTTTACTTGGAATAGAGATGAAATGGAATCTCAACTTCAATGTGTTACTTGTGGTGAACTATTATACAATCAAAGTGTGAAACTATTGTTTCTTAAAAGACAAACTGAATCTAAGCATGCCAATTTAAAGGATGAATCTGGAGAACATTTTAAGAAGAAATTATCAGAGTTCAAAAATAGTAAACAAGTAATGACAGGTTTTGTTACTTCAATTGAAAAAGCTCTGGAAGCTACTTATCTACTAAGCCTCAGAAACGCCAACACTGGGAAGGCTCACACTATTGGGGAAAATCTTCTATTACCTGCAGCTATTATGTCCTATAAAATTATGCACATTTTACTTATTACATTATGCACATTTTAATTTATTCTTTTAAAATTATTCCCCCAAATTTCATTACAGATATATTTCTCATTCAATCAATTTAGTTCTCAATTCGTAGCAAGGAAAAAATACATAAACATTTAAAACATCTTCATTAAAAATTGAAATACAGAAAAACCTAAACACCAAATAGAGTTAAAAATCCGTAAAAAAATTCTGCAATTAAAATTAGACAGAAAGAGATTTCTCGGTGTAATTTTGGCAACCATTTGGCAAAAAGACACCAAAGTGGGTGCTGAAACTGACTTAGTTCACTATTCTACAAAGTTTCAAATGTAAACAAATAGGGGGATTGTTAGGATGAGTGAAACTTAAACAAATTTTAAATTGTTGATAATTCTTCAACTATTTCATGCAGATTAACTAAAGGCATTAAAACCTTAACCGGAACACAGAAACAATATAATTCAATCCCTTTTAAAGCAAAAAAAAAAAAAAAAATGCAATTAACCAACATGTAAGAATTAAAAAACTTAGCTCACTGAGCCGGGTAACTGAAGTGGGTATGTACATATATACACATATATTTATATACTTTTGGTGCAGCCAATAGCCACCAAAAATGGAAGTGCACATCTACATGTTATAGCAGTCCCATATACAAAATCTCAATGTTCTGAGGCTAAGCGTTTTTGTGTATGCGAGATACATACATAAGTACATATGTACAGAAGTCATGAAAAAAATCTCTTCTGAATCAATTTTAAATCCATTTCACAATCCAATTTGCAAAAAAGAATCCTTTATTTGGTCTTTACATACAGATGTAATGCAAAAACATTGTTCAAATGGAATCAAGAGAGGTCAAAATGGATATTTTCGTTGAAATACTATATCTGAATTTTTGATGATTTCAATACTTCGTACAAAGAAGTAAAAATAAAACACAGTCAGTCTTTTGCATTGTAACTTCATGTAAGTACTGATATAATGAACTTTGTCCATGAGCTTACGTATACCAATATTAGCTTACGTATGTTTTGAAGAAGAAATAATGAATTGCCGAAGAGTATTTTGTGGATCTCTTCATGATAGAGCAACTGCAAATGAAATTTTCAAAGTAATTGACAATGTTATGTCTGAGAATGATATTCCTTGAAATAAGTGCACTGCCATATGCAGTGATGGAGCATGGGCATTAACAGGAAATTAACATTCCGGTGTTATTTCTCTAATAAAGGAAGTCATACCTGAAACTAAATTTACTCACTGCTCCATTCATCGTGAAACATTAGTAGCCAAACCAATCCCTGAAAACACAAAAATCGTTTTGAATCAAGCTGTGAAAATTGTTATGTTATTAAAAGCCGAGCTTTAAATTCAAGAATATTTATGATTTTATGCCAAGAGATGGGCAGTGAAAATGAAATGCTCTTGTTACATTCTGAAATAAGGCAGTTATCAAGAGTCAAAGTTTTAAATCCTCTTTTTGAACTTTGATCAGAAATTCAAATTTTCCACTGTGATTCAAAATTTGAATTGCAAAAATATTTATTTAATGAATTATGGCTGGCAAATTTAACATATTTAGCTAATATTTTTTGAAAGTTAAATTAATTAAATTTATGATTACAAGGAGAGAGTGTTAATTTGTTTACTATTAGAGATAAAATAAATGCAGTGATAAAAAACTCGAGCTAATAATCAAAGAATTAGAAATATTTGAAGCTTTTACCACTTTTAGAAAGTTTTCTAACCGAAAATAATTTGAAAATCAAATGTAAATTAGCATCCACAATTAAAAATCATTGTTTTTCATTAATAATAATTTCAACGTGTATTTTTCAAAGAACTATGAAAAAGAAAATTGGATTAGAAGCCCATTTTTTTTCAAATGTACCTGAAACTTGACCTCGTGACATGCATTTTAAATAAAGCTATTAAATTTTTATTGCCTTTTTGCACAACCTATTTGTGTAAACAATCATTTTCTTCCATGCTATAGTTGAAAAACAAGTAATATAAAAAAAATGTTTTTAAAGTCAATTCCTATTTAGGTCAACAAAGAACAAAAATATGTGAAAATATTTAATTATAAAATAAATATTTATTTAATATGTGAAAAAAATGTATTTCCATCAAATGTCATCCACTGCAAGTTTAAAAAAAATGTATTTGAGCTTGAGTGGATGAATAAAAAGTATTTTATCAACAATTGAAAATTGTAACAAGATATAGGGAGTGTGAGAAATTTAAAATGGAAAACAAAATTAAAAGTGGATCCTAATTTGCAGTTAAATATAAGTGAAATAAGATCAGACATAAAGAAGCTGATGGGTCTTAAAAAAGCTCAAATTTTACACTAAATTTTAGAATTAAAGCGCATTATAACTTAAATTTTAATAATTTAAATTGTAATCAATTTTAATCAATGTAAAATGTAGTAGTGGTAATAAATTTTTTCAATTTTTTGTCTTAGATGGTACGCACTAGTCAAAAGGTTGAGAACCGCTGATATATAGTATACACCGAGCAAATTTAAACTAATGTGGTAAATTCCACCACATTTCTCCCCTAAAAGAGAAATTCAAAAAAAAATTTTCAGTGCTTAAACTTGAGCAAACCTGAAAAATTTCAATGAAACCTATATAATTGCGTGATTTACTTATTTTGGAGGGCCCACCAGCGGCCGAGCGGTAAAGTCGCTGAACACTGGTAGTTCGGTCCGAGGTTCGAATCCCGCGAACGGGCTGGCTGCATGGGCGTTTTCGTTTCCCCATGTGTAATGTGTATACGAGCCAGTTTCCCTTAGAAAGTCCTCCACGAAGGCATCCCTCCCCTTAGGCAGATAGCCCTCGAGGCTTTGCCATAATCACACACACACACACTTATTTTGGAGGTCACGAGTTGCCACTGGTGTTGGAAACAATTTGTATGGGCCAAAATATCTCATCTTCTTCCAGTGTGGCCCAGGGAAACTAAAAGGTTAGACACCTGTGAGCTAGCCTGGTGTTCTACCCAAAGCACCTTTGAACAATGATGGATGCCATCATACATCATCTACTTCCCATACGAAAGAAGCATGTTTTTCTAACATAGAGTTTTATAGCAAGAACCACATGATTTTTTGCTGTTTGTATGTTCCACATTATTTGCCTTAAGAAAAGTCTTCTGCTTCATCAATACCTTCGTTATCATTTTATCTATTTAACAGATAACTGAGCTTTTGGGATACATAGTAAAAAGTCCCAAATCCAGATATCTAATATCCAGACCACTAACACCTCCCACAAAAACTATTATTATTATTAATAGTATACAAAAATCCTCACTACAAAGTCTGGAAACAGAATATAATACTCAACAAAAGAAAGATGGTTTCCGTTTTTCCAATTTTTCTCCCGACACATTCATGCATGCCATTTTCAAGCACCTGCTACTTAGTGCAGGTAGCCACCTAGTGATTCGCACTGGCCAATAATACACAACAGATTTATAGACCTAATTACACTTTCAGCTCTTGAGTTATTGTGGCAAGTTAACTTTTTTCTATTTGGTCTAAAGAGAAGCCTCAATGTTGTCATATCTACCCGTCACTTTAATAGATTTAAATTGATGATCTAAAACCCAGAAATTTCTGAAACTCAGAACAACTGAAGTCCAATGATAACAGATCTCCAATTTTTCATTGTAATATCACACATACTTTATTTCATATTTTTAGAATTAGAAAATATGGAAGAATGGTAACTGTTTAAGAAAGCCTGGTCTCATAAATCAAAGCTCATGATGTGACATTTATTTTAACTAACAATTACAAGTTTATTTTCCCCTTTGCCTTTATGCCTTGTTTCGTCACATACTTGTTCAAGATCAGAGGTTTATGCAGATTTTACGGACAAGTGGTGTAGTTTAAAGCGTGGAAAATAATCCTAACTGCATGACCTGCAGAGACATTTGCTGCTGCTATGGCCATCAACTTTGCTGTAACTCAGAAGCGACTGTTAAATTAAGAATATTAATCAGCCATTAGGCCAAACTGGCAAGTGTGACTGAGTAGTAGAAAATAATACTTGGGTCACACAGTGTACTCTAAATTATTTATAGGCATCAAGTAGGAGCATTAGTATCATAGCCAGTTAATATTTTGCATATTACATTCTGTAGGTGAAGTTGAGGAGACTTAGATTTATGTTTGTTTCATTTCAATTTGACTCATAAATACTGGGGAAAATAAAGATAAGATTTTACATCCTTGTGTGTTTGTTGCTTCCACCATCAGCGTAAGCTAATAGTAATTATTGGCCATCACAGTTACGGTAAAATTTCAGGGTGAGTACCTGGTACACATTCTTAGTTAGCCAGAAATATCACTCAAATTGCTATAGTGTTAAAAACGAATACTATAATTACAGTCTGAAATTTAAAAAAAAATAATAATAATAATAAAAAAGAATGAACATATTTAGGTAACACAGAGTGTATATTCTGCATAAAAAACACTATCATGAAATCATCACACCACTTATGACACATGGAAACTTGTAAAAGGACATAATCTACATAAAACATTGACATTACTAGCCAAAAAGCTTTATTCTGACTTAAATTAATAATAGTTATGTGCCAGCCAAAAGCCCAGGCAGGCAAGAGAACACAAATTTTGCACAGGTTTGTAGATTTGGTATTAAATTAATTTTTGATACACACATCTTAGGTGAGAACAGACACCAAATGTACAAACACATTATCTCATGTTCAATAAGTAATTTACATTAATTTTAAAAAATGGAACTTAAATTATAAAAAGGAAGAAGCTTCAATAATGCAAATATGAGATATGACAATTAAATAACAAGAATGTGCATGCCCTTGACCTTGATGCTTCCAGTGTAAGTGGAGCCATATTGCGTCTGTACCTTGTTTCGTTGTTTGCTAATCCTTGCTTAAGTTGAATGTTGTTTTGTTAGACTGCCACAATCATGATAAGCTTACAAACTGAACAGTGTATTAATCTCAAATTCCTTATGAAGTTAAAAAAAAAAAAAAAAAAAACCAACTGAATATTTTCAGTTGTTGACAGAAGTGTTTGTTATAATTGCATGTTGCACTCTCAAGTTTTTTAATGTCACAAATGACTTTCGGAAGGTTGGAAGGAGTTGGAAAATGCTGAATATTCTGGTCAACCTGTAACATCCAGATTTGATGAAAGCATTGAAACAGATTAATGAAATTGTACAGAAAGACAAACGTTTGAGTATTTGAGCGAAAGCAGTGAGAATGAACATTAACAGAGATAAGAAAATTTTCACATGAAAATTTGCAAGTCTGCACAAAATGGTACAAAAAATTCTTAAACATGAGCAACAGGAGAATAGGAAAAAAAAAAAAAAAAAACATTGCTCTGACATGACATGATTCACAGCAGAGCCTGAACTAGCAGAAAAGCCATGAAATGCGACAAAATGTGGAATTCCCAGTACGACCGAAAACAAAGCAATAATCCATGCATCAGAAGACTTCCCTCTTCACTAAGGTGCAGAAAAATCTTGAATGAGAAAGTTAAAAATTAAAGTCATGTTCATCTTTATTTTTTTTTTTTTTTTTTTCATCATTAAGGGTGTCATCATGTCCAAGAGGCTTACGCCTATTCAAGCTGAACTCAAAAATTCAGCATTTTCATCCATGTGTTAGTTTTAAAAAAAAAAACGTAATTTTATTTTTGCATCCTTTTACCCACTGCTATTTTTTATAAGTTATTTAAATTTCATGAACATCCACATGTTTATTTTGAGAAATCACTATTTTTTTTAATTTTTCCTTAATTTTTGAAAAACCATGTATGTACAGTTATAATAATAGACTCCCACTTTAATAATACAACTAGAATAATTAATTAAGCATACATATTAACATAAAATAACAGCACTAGCATTTAATTGCAATTTGCTTAAATAACAGCAGTTCACAAAGTACCTATAAAAAGTTTAAAGCCAATATATACAACTTTAATGATGAGCTAAAGCTTATAAATATATTGATTTTACCTGTTATGTCCTTCTAATTTCTGCAAAGCCTGTCCATTAGCCTAAGAAAAGTGTCTCATTTCAGCATTAAGCAAATATGCTTTTAAAAAATGAAAGTATTAAAATACAACTAAGTACATATTTTTTATTAATTAAAATCCACAATCCCATATTTGATTTACCCTTCTTACTTTAAAAATATGTACATAATCAAAGTGAAAAACCTATACAAAAATGACAGAACTGCTAAGAAGGCAGCAGTAAATAACAAAGCATCGGTTACAAAAAAAAATGTCTCTAGTTCTGTTCCCAAGTTATCTTCTAAAAAGTATTATTAGACATAAATGTGACAAAACAGAGATGATTTTTAAAATGTCTGGGGAAGGGAGAAAATTTAGTTCATCTGACATATTTATTTTATAGCATCATATTGTGATAAATCTCAAAATGTTTGTTTGCAATAAATTATCAAAAATCAAAGCAATCCTTCTTATAATCTTTTTATCTGACTATTAGGAAATCTCAGAAATATTTACACTGACAGTTTAGTAAGGCCAAATCTGAATATTTTACTACTAATCCAATTTATCAAAGAAAAATTGCAATGCCTTTAAATAGTATTAGAAAGTACAGCACTGAAACAGAACAAGACATTAACAAATGACAAATATTATAGTAAATTTTCAGTAAAAATTACAATATAATCATATAAAGTCAGTTTTACTTCATCTATTAATATAAATAAAATAGAATGATTAAAAGAAATTGAATGCATATTTTGCATATATCATACAGGTTTTTTAAAAAATATATATATTACTGAATAACAAGTTTATTTTGCAGCATTCAAGAAGCTCATAGAAAAGTTTGAGATCTTTATTGAACAGATTCTTCTAATACTTCTGATAAATCAGCTTCCTAATGATATAATGATAACTTTATGTTATTCTAACCCAATATAATTTCATAATTTGCCCAATAAATGTGATAGATTGAAAAAGATTCATTACTCCAGCACTTGCTTGCAGTGCAACTTTTGTTCATTCATAACAGTAATTTATTTTACTAAATTTATTACACTACTTCCTGCAATTATTTGCCCATATAGCTTGAAATAACTTCATTAGTAATAATGGCTGAATCAGAAACCACAGACTAAATTCCAAATGCCAGAGTTTAATATGAAAGCATTACATAATAAAGATAAAATTTTGAGATGTAGATCATTACTTCTTAAAAGGCATTAGAATAAACTGCAATGTGAATTAATACTGAAATTTTATTTCACCTGCAATGACTGCCACATAATAATGCAATGACTGCCATATAGAAACAAAGATATAATTTAAGCAATGGTTTCCCTAGAAACAATTTATTACTCTATATCAACAATTCTCAACCATTTGAATAACGCATAAAATCTAAACAAAAATAGAAAGAAACCTTAGTACCACCATTACATTTTACAGTGATTATTTTTCAATAGTTTAGAAATCACAGCAAATTCTATCAAGTTTCTCTTTTTGTTTCTTTGCATAGCATCTATTTTGCTCTTGCGTACCACTGGTTGAGAGTCACTGTTCTATATTACTTGAAGGTTATGGTCATAATTTATACAGCTGTTGCAAACTGTACTGAACTAAGTATGCTGTAGAATATGCTGTAGTGTCACTCTACAACAGGTTTATTTCAGTTTGCTTTCCTGGCTTTTACTGAGATAGCCCAGGTTTGATTTCCAACATGGGAACCAGATTTTATACTATTGAAAAGTTCATTGACATAGAATATCTTAATAAAATACTGAAAACAGTTTATTTTAAAAATGAACTTTCCCTCACATAGTGAAAATAACAAATTCAACATTCTTAAAATATCTTTCAAAGAACTGAATGAACAGTGACATCACTTACATAACTGCAGTGCCAAACCACAGCAGACTTAGTTCAGATCAGTTTACACCACAGCAAAATTAGTTCAGATCAGTTCATCCCACAACAAAACATGGAAAAAATACCTGTCTAGTAAATGATGCTTTCAATGAGATTGCTATCAGAAACCAGTCGCAGACACTTAGCTGACAAGTTAGCCGACAAGACATTTAGCCAACAAGGACACTTAACTGACAGGGACACTTAGCCAACAGGACATTTAGCCAAAAGGACACTTCGCCGACAGGACATTTAACTGATACGGACACTTAGCCGACATGGACACTTTGCAGACAGGACATTTAACCGATACGGACACTTAGCCGGCAGGACATTTAGCCGACACGGACACTTAGCAGACAAGACACTTAGCCCACAAGCACAGTTAGCCGACACGGACAGACAGCCAACACGGACAGTTAGCCGACAGGGCATTTAGCAGACAGGACATTTGGGCAACACAGAGAGTTAGCTGTCAGGACATTTGGCTACGGGATACTTAACTGTCAGCACGTTTAGTAAACAGGACACTAAGCCGACAGTGACGTTTAGCTGACACGTACCCAATAATTATTCAAACTTACTATCAATTACAAAATTTCTCGACTTCTCCATAAGTTCAATATTTAAGTTATTTTTTCACAATCGGTAAAATTCATTTTTCGATTCTTAAAGATATGTTCTTTTAATTATTGTCTTAATTTAGCACTGTTTGATATTTATCGTGCCGTTTGGTGTATATTGGCCAAATTGAAAAAGCGCTGAAATTTATCATCAGGGAATATGAATTAAATTTCGAAAGGAAGAAAAAAGAATTTCTTTAGCTAAGTGCGGCGGTCACTTAATTACAGTTTAATATGATCTTCAAAAATTATCCATCAAGTTTCTTCATTTAATCAACTGGGCTCTTTTGAACACTTTCACATCATTCATAATTTTTCTTGTTTACTTAATGATATTAATTTTCCAATCTCACTCCTCCAAGTGCTTTCAAATTTCTAATACCTTTACGTTTCATTACGATTTTACTCATCACATCATGTTACATTCTTTCCCAGGTTTTGTACACATTTCTGCACAAGGAAATTAAGTACTTTTAAGGACTTTTAAGGAGCATTAATGAAAAAAATTAAGGACCTATGTGCAAATGGGAACTGAATAAATTCAATTAAAAATATATCTATGCCTGAACGTCAGTAGGATGCATTATTATTAAACGTAACTTAATTAACATAATCATTAATATTTGACAATAAAATTAATTTTATAAATTTATCAAGTAGCATTAAAATATTTTACACTTCATAATAGTTGGACATATTCTGAAAGAAGATTAGTGAGCATTTAGTTACGTTTTACTAACAGTTAGATTTATTTTTTTTTTTTTTTTTTTTAATGTCTCATTTTGTCACATACTTGGCTCAAGTCTAGAGGTTTAGCAAATAGCAAGTAGATTTTTATGTCAAAGCAGCATAGGTTAAAATGAGAAGTAAAAATCATAATCAGTATGATTCCTAACAAAAGACTGGCTGTTGTCACCTGACTGCTGCTTGTAACCTATAGAGAGACCTGCAGATTCAGAACAAAACCTGAAAGGCCTGATGTAGGCACGGTTGGGCAAGGTTTTGAAAGTTAGCTGACCTCTGTCTGATGCTGCTAGTGTTGTAGCTTTGTGTAGAGTTTCAGAGGTTGTAACTCAGTTAATATACTTTAAGATTCTATGTAAGCCACTAAAGCATTAGGGTTGATAAGTCCAGTTATTGCATTAAGTCTAACTAGATGCAAAGAATAAGTTTCACATGAATTTTTATATTTTTGTGTTTTACCTTGTGACCACGGTAAAGGTTTAACACGTAATTTACATAATAATAACTGTACATATCTTTGAAGAATAATTTTCTTTCTCTTTACATATTTAGTTTCTTTTTTCAACACGTTTTCCTTTCCCATTACTTTTAGTAATACGAACATTCAGAAGAAATATGAAATACATTGGTAAAGTCTGGTCACAGAGCTGGTGTGGCATAATTTTTAGAATTTAGGGACACACTGAGCAACAAAATCTAGAAATGGCGAAACTTTTAGAATTTAGAGCAGGCATTGGAAGCAGAATTTAGAAAGGCACCAGGCAGCAGAATTTAGGATCCACAGAGACGGCATCAGATGACAAAATGCCTAGCGCCAGCTCTGTGTATGATACATTAAAATATATTAGATGAATCTTTTGAATTGTCAGCTTTCAATTTCTTTATTAATAAAAAAAAATTATTTCTATAATGCCTGTCCATATGATAAGATTAGAAGTAATTTTGATATTTTCAATGCTTGTATCTAGTGAAAAGTAGAGAAAATAAAGGTAAGATAAAAATGCTACGAAAGCTATTATAGAATCAGAAGTAAAACATTCAACTATTATATTTCCATTGTTCTTCAAAATGTAAGAAACTGCATGTTACTACCATGGAGACATTTTTCATTTCATCACATTTTTCTGGAATCTTTTAGAATCATAGGTCTATAAATTTGCCTTAAAACATTTCTAAACTTTCCAAGCTTCAATGTCTAAAATCTTAAAGAAAAATTACCCCTGCCAATTCTGTAACACCAAAAAGCCAGAAATGTTTTTTTAAAAAAATCGGAGGAAAAATGTGTGAAATTAATTTTATAGAGAAAACTGATGCATTTTCTGAGAATTCTGATCATTCTGAGAAATGGGAAAAATTCTTATCGTGAAAAAATTAAAAGGACATTTTTAATTAATTACATAGCTATTTTGCTTTTGCTAAAAAATGTTTTGTAAACTGTGCTAAATAGCATTATTCCTTGCTTAATTTCATATTCAAAAAATTGTATAATATGTAGCCAAAATTGAACTTTATAATATGACAGTGAAAAATAAAAATGCTTTATTTTAATGTTATTTCCTAAATATAATTCCAATATTTACCATTATTTTAATGAAATTTATCAACGTTAGAATGTTCTAAAAAAACGTCAAAAAATTCCCAGATCTCGGAATTAAAAATTGTCTATAGAAACCGATTTTAAAATCGCCAAAATGTTGATAATTGCCAAATTTAGAATCGTTTAATAAAAATTTAATAAATCAAATTAAATAAATTTAATAAATCACATCTCCAAAAGCAGAAAGTTGTTTGAGAGCTCTTCATTACAAAAAATGAAATAATTTTGAAATTTATGTTTCACTTCTTGCTCAGAAACCCGAGTATCCCACCATTACTTATATTAGAAATAGGAACAAATTATAACTCATGAACCCGTTCAAAAATTAGCCATATTCGTCAGTGAATCGCCAAAAATATTCCTGCAAAACGCTAATTCACACCCAAAATGGCAGTCTTAAAAACAGACAGAAATTTCAGCTGATTAAAATTAAGGACCTTCGGCCAATTTTGGCCAAAATTAAGGACTTTTAAGGACCAAAAATTGATTCCAAACACTTAAGGACTGTTAAGGACCGTACGAACCCTGTTTCCCTTACAAAATCGTTTGGCTCCTTCCACTAATAAAATTTCCTTTCCCTGTCATGAAACATCTGAATAATCCAATAAAAATAATTGTTATTCTTGAATTATACTTTTTTATAGAAACATAGGTGAGGGTTAGTTTAGCAAATATACTTTATTTTGTTATTAAAAATGATTAAAAAAAGAGAATTGTTAAGACAAGCAAAGGTATAAATTATTTGTGACCTCTATCATTTGCAGTTGATGCCACTATTCTTGACAGAAATTGTGTAACCTTTTATTGACCACGCCTCTTACTTAAAATACATACTTAGGTTAATGTTTACAGCACTAAATTGGGGCATAATGTTTAATTTAGAAGTAAAATATTCTTTAAGGTTTTGTTTTATTCATAACTGAAGCTGCAGAAGGAAAGGGCCAGAAACCAAGTCTGCGGCCACCTAACAGAAGTAGGTTTGATTTTTGTAATTACAGCAAAGCCAAAGGGCCATCTGACCAAAAGGAGGGATGCCATCCTGGAGGACTTTCGAATGAAAACTGGCTTGTATACATGTTACACATGGGGAAAACCACGAAAACACCCACGCAGGCTGTCTGTTCGCGGGATTCGAAATTCAGACCGAACTGCCAGGGTTCATGACTTTAAAGCTCGGCCTCTGTTGAGCCTAACAGAAATAGAGTGACCATTTTACTTTATAAAGAGTCTCTTCCAATGAAAATTGCCTTTTTAGGCTAGAACTTTATAAATGCATTCAGAAAAACGGGCACCAAAAATTTTCCCATTACCAAGTAGCTAAACCGAAAATGAGAAAGAGAAGGAGTGAAAGAGGGGTGGGAAATAAAATTAACAAAAATGAAATGAAAATTTATACATTTTTAACAGGTATTGCAAAAAGTTATATTTTATAAGAACAACATGAATATAAAATTTTATATTGAAAATTACACATCGCGACTTTCAAAACAAAGTACATAATATTATGCATTCACGTAACTCATCTAGTTAAATTCAGCATCGATAGATGGCACCACATTACGGTGACTTTTCAGGATGTGACACTTTGCTCTGTCTACTTAGTTTGTGGCCCCTCCTTCTGTAGCTTCAGTTATGAATAAAACAAAACCTTAAAGAATATTTTACTTCTAAATTAAACATTATGCACCAATTTAGTGCTGTAAACATTAACCTAAGTAAGTATTTTAAGCGAGAGGCGTGGTCAATAAAATCTTACAGAATTTTTATCTCAAGAATGATGGCATGAACAGCAAATTATCGAGGTCACAAAAAATTTATACTCTTGCTTGTCTTAAAAATTCTCTTTTTTTAATTATTTTTCATAATAAAATAAAGTACATTTGCTAAATTAACCCTCACCGGTGTTCCTATAAAAAGTATAATTCAAGAATAACAATAATTTTTATTGGATTATTCAGATTTTTCATGACAGGGAAAGGAAATTTCATTAGTGGGAGAAGCCAAACGCTTTTGTAAGGGAAAGAATGTAACATGATAAGATGAGTGAAAGAGTAATGAAACGTAAAGGTATTAGAAATTTGAAAGCATTTGGAAGAGCGAGATTGGCAAATTCATGTCATTAAGTAAACAAGAAAAATTATTAATGATGTGAAGGTGTTCAAAAGAACCCAGTTGATTAAATGAAGAAGCTTTACGGATAATTTTTTAAGATCATATTAAAATGTAATTAAGTGACCACCGTACTTAGCAAAATAAACATTCTTTTTTCCTTTTGAAATTTAATTCATATTCCCTGACGATAAATTTCAACGCTTTTTCAATTTGGCCAATATACACCAAACAGCACGATACACATCAAACAATGCTAAATTACAGAAGAATTAAACGCACATATGAGACCTTTAAGAATCGAAAAATGAATTTTACTGATAGAAGAAAAAAAATAACTTAAATATTGAACTTATGGGTAAGTCGTGAAATTTTGTAATTGATAGCAAGTTTAAATTATTATTGGGTATGTGTCAGCTAAATGTCACGGTCGGCTTAGTGTCCTGTTGACTAAATGTCTTGACAGTTAAGTGTCCTAAATCTTGACAGCTAAATGTCCTGACATTAACTCTTTGTGTCGGCTAAATGCCCCGTCGGCTTTGTGTTCTTGTCGGCTAACTGTCCATGTCGACTAAGTGTACTGTCAGCTAACTGTCCGTGTCGGTTAAATGGCCTATCGGCTAAGTGTCCTTGTCGGCTAAATGTCCTTGTCAGCTAAATTACCTATCAGCAAAGTGTCCGTGTTGGCTAAATGTCCTGTTGGTTAATTGTCCCATCGGCTAAGTGTCACGGACCCATCAAAAACTGATTCATATGCAGCTTAGTTATTGTACATTGCAAAGCCAAACAAATAAGTAAATAAATAGATACTAATGCGACTAGCCTATTCCATGGTAAAGCTACAAACAAAACTAGTGCAGCTAGTCCATTCTGAATTGCATCAAGGTCAAAGTATGACTATTACTACAACTACTCTTACCTATAAAATGGCTACACCTTTCAACTTCTAATAGAATGAAAAATATTTGAATCAAGTTATTTTTCCTAAACAGTTTTAAATAAATATATTATTTTAAATATCACAGTTTTGTTATTGTTGTTGTTGTTGTTGTTTCTGCTTAATGTAAATAGTATGAAATTTCAGAAATTGTTAAGAAGATTGCTCTTTTCTTACATTTGCATTTACTACAGCATTCACTATTAGACTACTGGATAATTTTTACAGCAATTCTTGCAACACAGTAAACCATCTTGGAATTCTGATCATCACATTACTTAGAAAGCAGTGGGAGCTTAATCTTGTGTGCAGTCACTTATGTGCTTTGACAGTGATGAGTAAGTGACAATGACATGGAAATGCCAGTTATGGAATGAAGGATCATCAAGTTTTTATGCGAGCTCTTAAATTTTGACCATACTTCACTGAATGCAGAAATGAGTGTCTCTTAAAATGAAATGCGTTGCCACATCCCTATTAGTTGAAATTTAATACCACTCTTCCTTAATCAAGCAAAGTATATCACCACAGTAGTACAAACGTGAATACACATCCAACCAAACACTATACTTGAATACTGGATAAACAGTTAAATAGCTTTAAGAATGCTGGGAAAGACGTACTACAGTAAAAGAGAGATTACTTCATAAAGGTATCTTTTGGAGTTAAGAAACCACTTTGCTTCTACATTATTTCCATTAGTCAGAAGTAATATTTAAACACTTTTAATATGAATGCACTAATTTTAAACTGCAATGTCATTTTCTATAAATAATAGAGAAATAAGAATAATAATTAAAAACAGGTAAAAGAAAAGTAATATCTATATATATATATATATATTTACCGGGTTCCATAAAATAATGCATCTATCTCCACCTCTAGAGTAAAAAAAAAAAAAAAACATACTTTTGAAAATAACACAAACATAATAAATTTTTACAACATATTACATAAGACTTTAAATTTATCACAGTTGAATGAAAATGTCTACTATATAAATTTCATATTCACAGAACATATAGTTTTTAATTTCAGAAATTTTAATAAACTTACGTTGATGCTAACAGTGTTCCATCATGTGAAAAACGACAAGACATAACATTTCCAGAATGTCCTTCTAATTTCATAAGAAGAGTTATATTTTTAATTGAAACAGTTTTGATACACCAGAGCTTCACAAGATCATCATTACCACAAGTCGAAATAATATAATTTGCATTAATAAATCCACCTTCAGCTAAATGAAAAAAATGTGTGACAATTATAGGCATTGAATGTTTTACACTGATCAATAAACAGATTAATAGTAATAATAAGTCACAAGACATTTTGAAATGACTTATTTTTAGTCAAATGAATGTTTTGCTAGCCATGATGATATGATAACAAACACATAAATAAATCAAAACATTTACCACATTAACATGCAAATTTTATTCACACAGTAAATGTTGAGCTAGATTTGTTTTACTTTCTGTTTAGGCAACTTGTAAATACAGAAAAGCATCTATGGATGAAAAAGACACAAAGCAGAGAAGCAGGTAAGTAAACACACTTCTTAATATTACAGGACCATCAAAGAATTGCAAATTTCCTTGAGAAACACCACAAAGAAATCCTTCTGGATTCCTTCATTTTTTAAATTTAATTAATTTTAAATTTTTTAATGTTTAAATTTAAGGAACTTTAAAAGAAAGAGATTTGCGTTCAACTCTGTGTGTTGTGAAATTTGTAAAAAAATATAGTTATCATTAAGTACAAGGTGTCTGAAATGAAGCTATCATGCTACCAGGTTAGAACCATCATTTACTTCTGGTTCTGTTGCAAAATGTCACCAAATCATGTGTATAGCTTTAGGTACTAATGTTGTATCATATGATACTGTTAAGGTTTGGTACCGAAAGTTCAAAAAGAAGGACTGACATTCAAGAAGCAGAGCGCTCTAGCCAGCCTACTGATGTTAATGAGGCCTGCCTGCGAGAGCTTGTGGAAAATCAGTATGCAACCACATGAGAGCTTGCTAAGAAGTTAGACACTAGTGCCATGTCCATTAGTCATGCTCTAGACATTAGTGCCATGTCCATTAGTCACGCTCTAGACATTAGTGCCATGTCCATTAGTCACGCTCTAGACATTAGTGCCACGTCCATTAGTTACACTTTGCATCACATAAACTTGACATACAAGTTCAATTGCTGGGTGCTGCATGAGCTGACACAAGCAGATAAGGGCATAAATGTTCAGGACTGCACTAATCTGTTTGAATATCAACGTAAGGACAAACTTCTGGATCAGATTATTCCCTGTGATGAAAAGTGGATTTACTTCAACAACACAGGCCAAAAAGTGGTCTGTACCCAGTGAGCCTAAAAAAAAAGTGTGGTCTGTACCCAGTGAGCAAAAAAACTAAAAAAAAACAGAAAAACAAAAAAAAAAAAAAAAAAAAAAAAAAAAAAACCTTTTTACAAAACACAGAAATGAAGCAAGTTGAACTGATTGTTTATTAAATAGAAAGGAGTCAGTTCCTTCAGAATTCTGAAGGAACAACTGCACAAATTTTGTGACATCTCCATTAACTTTGCAAGTTCCCCATTTTTTATGTTATGCACATTATAAAATCTTTTTGCAGTACAAAGTCCGAAATCCGGACTCGTCAGGACTTTGGGAATTCCGGATTTGGGATTTTTACGGATATTAGATCATCAATTTAAATCTAGTAAGATGGCATGTAGAAATTATAAAATTAAAACTATGAAATCGTGATTTATGAAATAATGAAGTATTTATGATCTAAAAGGTATCAAAATTTACAAAAAATTTGCTAATACTTTCTCATTAATTCTGTAGACAGACATAACTAATTTCTTGTTCAGTTACGTTGTTGAAGTCCTGTAACTGCTATTTCAAGAATTCTGACTAACTTGGCAAGCGAAATTTTCTCAGTAACTTCAGTAACTTCTCTGTCACTTTCTTCACTATCAGTAGTGGTATTTTCTGGATCTAGAACCATACTACAAATTTCCCCATTTACTAATTGATTGATGACTGAGAAGCATCGTCATCACAAAGAAAAACTTCTTTTATATCATCTTCATTTATTACCATTTCTCCACATTTCTTTACAGAATCTGTTAATTGGAAAATTTCACCTTTGTTTTGCGATATCCGAAGACCTATAAAATTAGTGACTATCATCATCAAATTTAGCTATCCTTCACTATACATATTTGGCTATGCATCATGAGCTTGGCGATTAATGACAAGTTGTTATGTTAACTTTTATCTTGTTTCTATCGTGCACTGAGACAGTTAAGCTTGAATTGTATTAGTTATTTATTATACTTATGTCTATTTCTTGCACACGCTTAAGGCTTATCTGAGTTCTGAATAAATAAATTTCCACATATACTTAAGCCTTATTAAGGGCCGGCGCTAGATATCTTGCTGCCTGATGCAGTTTCTGTGGGTCTGAAATTCTGTGGCCATGAGCACTGGAGCTAGTTCTGGGTTTATGTGAATAACAAATCAGTTATTCTTAAATCAAATAGCCCTAAATGTAATCTTTGGGTCTATGAGTATCATCAATAAAATCTATTTTTAGCATATGGAAAGAAATTTTTCCTCATCAACATTTTTTAGCACACTGTAATCATCGCCAAGCGCAATGTCAACATAAAAGGTTACGATACTTCTTTAGTATTTAATTACTAACATAAAAAAATTTTTAGGCTGTCACTACATGAGTCATTACTCAAGTTATCATGTTTTGATAATCATGCGTTGATGAAAGGAAAGTATAATAAATAATGATTTGCCAGGTTGGCGTCAGATCAACGATATATCCGTTGGCTTTAAGTTTTCCTTATGCAAATTTTGATCGGAGGTCAATCAGTGGTTAGCTAACGTGGTTGCCACTGATTGGCCGATGACGTCAAGATTGGCGGGTTGGCCAAGTAATATATATATGTACGCCGGTATCGGCGAATGCCTTGTTTTGTTTTGTTATCATGCATTAGCATAATGCTAGTTTTCTTTTACTCGATGATTTTAAATGTAAAGGCTACAGTGTTAGCTTCTTTTATTTTTATTTACGGAATAAAGCATGAATTTTATTTAGATTAGTCTTAGCTTTATTTAAGACTTAATTAATCGAGACTCTCCAAATGTTTTATTATGTGCAGAAGGGGGAATTAAATGTGCATGCATAAAGCCTATGAGAAAAACGTTGTTGGTGGTTTTGAAGTCCGGATTTTAGGTCATTCCAGATATTGGACGTCCGGATTTTGGACTTAGTACTGTATTGCTCTTCTGTCTCTTGGTCAGCTTGATGAGATTTCAAGATGTACCTGCTACTCACATTATTGAGTCCTATGATAAAAGAGCCATATAATTTTAAAATGATTAAAATTTTTGAAACAAGAATACTCAGAATATAGATATAAATATTATTTTTATTTATTTATATTTATTTTTATTAAGGAAAAGTTTGAAAAAACTTAATATTCTTAAAAATTAGGTATTTTTCAGATGAATTAATTAAATACACATAAAATATATTCAATATTCTTGATTTTGTTTTAAAAATGTGTAGCCAGTTAAGCCTTTTAATTTAAAAAAACATAATCTGTAAGAATGCAATGGAAGAAAACTTACATACTGCGTCATACTGAGGACTAAAATCGCAACCAAGAATCCCTAAATCATGAGCATCTGGTACAGATGACAAGCACTTTCCATGGCCATAGCGAGCATCCCACAACATTAAATCTCCAGCTGTTGAGCATGATATTAAAAAGGAACTGTCTGGACTGAAAGCTAAAGTGGTTATCATAGCTTCATGTCCCTCAAGAACCCTGCATTAATATGGAAAGATAAATAAAAATAAATGAAGTTATTTAATGCAAAGTGATTTAGAAATACTTTACCGGTTATAGAGACAGAATTAAAATATATTACCTCATCAAACATTTTGTCGCAAGATCCCACAATACAACTTTTTCATCATCTCCTCCAGTAGCAAGTACAGCAGATGTAGGACTAAAACAGCATACACGAATAGGAGACCCACTTAAGTGTTGAAGCTCACAAACCTTTTCACCATCCTAAAAAGAAGCATTTTAAGAATATAGACACTGGTTTAAATTAATTAAGGAATAGTCATAAAATTCATTTATTTCATCTAAAAGTAATGTGACCTTTACTAAATTTAAAGAAGCAACCAGTAAAATTTTGTCCCATCAGTACATAACATTCCAACTATATCTACTACAGTTAGAATATGCACTATTGTGCAAAATGTCAGCAGCTTTTCTGATTTGGGCCGTAATTCTTAAAAAAAAAAAAAAAAAAAAAAAAACTGGGAGACATGAAATTCATATCACAAGAAAACAATGGAATATTTAAAGATGAGGAAAGTAAAATAGCACAAAAAGTGATCAGGACATGTACAATATAGAATGGAAAAGGAAGCATACAGTACAGAATAGAAAAAGACTTTACTGATAGAATGGCATTGATAAAAAAAAACTGTCTGGCCATGAGGGTAAACAACAAACCAGAGAGCCTTAGTAATGGCGTTATCACATCTAAGTGGCATGTGCGGCTAGGCAGGAGCGGGATATTTCTGAGAAACGAGATTCTGGTAGCATTGGTTTAAATAGGAGGGTTCAGAGAAAAGCCAGCACTACTGGAGGTGATGTTCTGTCTAGGCAAGGAAACGGTGTCCCGGCTAAGCTGGACATTTTTAAACTTTGCTCAAAATGTCTTGTTTGCAGCTGTGTCCCGCGTACAGATCAACCAATCAAACGAAAGTTCTGCTTCGGAAGGACCATAGGTAATTTCCAATTAAGTCAATGGCTGTAGTTTGATGTCGTGGACAATAGTAATTAATGGAAGCCTATCTTATTGAAGAAGAAAAAAAAAAAAAAAAAAAAGACTATAATTGTATGCTGTATTTTTAGAATACAACCATATAAGTCTTTTTTTTTTTAAAATGTTTATACACTTATTAAATTTATAAAGGTGGAATTTATACTGACCCATAGCATAGCATGTAGAAATATTATCATTGTTACATAATAACAGAATTTGTTTTCACTAAATTTGAGGTGATTAATTTTTTAAAAATCTCTTTACATATATACGACTTTACCTTTTTACCAATTAGTTATCATTTAAATTATTTATTGCATATCCAGCGACATACTGAAAACATAAAAGGTGCATAAAAAGGAAAGCACAACTTATGTAATAATGAGAATACTCATTAAATTTGTACGCTTTATTTTTAGATCCTTAATAAAATACTTTTTAGATTATAAATACATTAGAATCTATACTTTTATTGTAGCTGCTGCATATTGAAACATTTGGAAATTTATGGATTTATTATTATGCATGATGAAAAACATTTGTATATACATTCATTAATATAAATCTTATTCATTACATTAATACTAATAAACATCCATCAGCAACTTCTAAACCATTGCAACTCTCTATGTATTTGTACATATACAGTCAAAAGTCGTTAATTCGGACACCCATAATCCGGAATGATCTATAATCCGGACCTCAAAGCTAAAAACTTTCTGCGCATGCGCCACGTTGACACATGCGCAAAGGCATTTACGCGTGCGCGTAAGACCTTTACGACTACGCATATGCGTGTGCACAAACGCAGAATACGTTTTCGCGTGCACGTTTAATGTATAACGGATGGTATAAGCTAAAATTATCTAATTATCTATTTCAGTTAATGTTGATGATTGTGTTGTTCCTTAATCTTCGAATTGGATGCGCTTATTATTTTTTGCAGACTGTAAGAACAATTTATAAAAGTAAACTTGAACTTTCGATTATGTCAAATAGAATTTCCGATGCTGGAGCTCCCAAAGGATCTACAAAATGAAAGTATGTTTCGATGTCCGTCAAACAAAAAGTGGAATTGCTGCAAAAAATGGATAAAGACATGAAGAAAGTGACAGAGAAGTTAGTGAAAACGAAAAAATTTTGATTGACAAGTTAGTCGGTATTCTCGGCACAGCAATTACGGGACTTGAACAGTGGAACTTTGTAACTGAACAAGAAATTATGTCTGTTTATAGAATTAAAGAGAAAGTATTAGCACAAAAAACGAAGCAACTTAAACAACTTACATTGAAAGAAATGTTTAATAAAGTAAACAAATAAATATTAAGCTTTTTTTTTTTTTTTTTTTTTTTTTGTAAATTTTGATACCCTTTAGATCATAATTGTTCTTTATTTCATAAATTACGGTTTCATATTTTTAATTTTAGAATTTCTGCTTGCCATCTTACGAGATTTAAACTGATGATCTATAATCCGGAAAAATCGATAATCCGGATTCGCCGAAGTCCCGACAAGTCCGGATTAACGACTTTTGACTGTACTACTTATTAGATGTGTATATAAGAATATAAAAATGAACATTGCCAAAAAGTTTATTTAAAGTCACTTCTAATTCAAGTGATCATGTAATTGACAGCAAATGTACTCCTCAGTTCTTTCACATTATTCTGGCTATGGAATACACAGCTGAAAAATAATTGATGAGCACAGACACGAGCGTACACTTTTGGTTTGGGGGATAATACATAATTATATCCTATACATGATTTACGCTGTATAAGCATGGCCTAATAGCCATACATGATTTACGCTGTATAAGCTGTATAAGCTATGACTAACAAGAACTTTAAAAGCTATGCATTTATAAAACATTTTATCATTTAAAACATACGGTGCACAACTGACTATCACTTTGATGTGCGTTTATTCAGGGAATTATACGGTACTTTATAATTATGTCTGACTGACTGATATATTATAGACGCAAATACTGCACAACTGTGCAGTTTGTCTGGCTCGATGACTTGGAGCCACAACGGTGCATAATGCTAAGCTATCTGGACCGTTGAACTCATAGGGAAAGAGAATAAGAAGAACAGGAGGTGACCATACATCGCTAGGCTTGTAACCAGAAAGCACGTCCTAATGAATAGGGCCAATCTGAGTTGGAACGCAAAAGCATGTAATCATTATTGTGAAAAGAAAGCATACAAGTACTACAATAAATAATTTTGTTTAGTGATACAAAATTGATATAAGATACAAATACAACGTAGTAAAGTGAAATACAAATGTTAATATAATACAGTACAAAGTCCATAATCCGGAATGATCTATAATCCGGACCTCAAAGCTACAAACTTTATGTGCTTGCGTAAACGCATAATGCGTTTTTGAATTAATTATGTAAGGCATTAACTAAAATGCCTTACATAATTTTAGCCTAACTTATACCATCCGTTATACATGCGTTTAATGTATAACGGATGATATAAGTTAGGCTAAAATTATGTAAGGCATTTCAGTTAATGTTGCAGATTACGCTGTTCCTTAATCTTCTAATTGGATCCGGCTTATTATTTTCTGCAGACTGTTAGAACAATTTTATAAAAATTAAGCTTGAACTTTTGATTATGTCAAAAAGAGTTTCCAATTCTGGAACTGTCAAAGGATCTACAAAGCGCATGTTTCGATGTCCATTAAACAAAAAGCAGAATTGCTGCAAAAAATGGAGTGAGTGAGTGAAAGGTTATGGCGCAAAACCAAAGATGATTATAGCGCGCCAAACATGAGATGGGATGATTACAATTGATGAAATTAAAATACAATAAATAAAAACAAGTGGACAAATGTACCAAATCCAGAGGATGAAGTCATATAAAAACAAGTTAAAAGCACACATTAAAATCCAAGACATAATCTTCAAAACAAATTACATTAGGTAATAAAAGCCAGTCTCTTTTAAATAATAAAATTAATTACAATTCACCTCTCTTCCGATTAAACAGTTGAGAGGTAAGTCACAGCTATTAAAATATTTCTGACGAAGACTATTAAAACATGGACACTCAATTAAAATATGACGAACAGATAAACAAACATTACAAACAAACAGGCTCATTTTCAGCTTTGAGAAGATAGTTATGTGTCACTCTAGTGTGACCAATTCTGAGGCGAGTCAAAAGAACTTCCTCCTTACGATTTCGAGCAAAATCCCAATGCTCAATTCTAGGCTTGACATTTCTCAATTTGCGATGCTGAACGTCCCAAATTTGCTGCCGTTCTTTTCGGATCTTTCCCTTGATGACACAGCAGATAACTCTAAAAGGGATAAGGCGACTGGACAGTTCAACATCAGATTTTGCTGCAATATCTGCAAGCTCATTTCCCTTTATTCCAGCATGTCCAGAAACCCAGCAGTACAGGACTTCATATCCTCGAATTGTCAAGTTTATATGAACCTTAAGAACATACATTACCACATGATTCTGAGTGTTGAGAAAAGCTTCCAACGATTTAAGAGCACTATATGAGTCTGTATAAACTATAAACTTTTTGTGACAGAGCTTTGAGATGTACAACAGAACATACTATATTGCAGTTAGTTCAGATGTTAGGACTGAGAAAGCATGGTGCAGACATCTGCCCTCTATGTAATCTTCAAATACAAATGTCATTCCGACATGATCATTTGACTTGGATCCGTCTGTATATATCAGGTAATAACTGCAATATTTGTGCCTGTGCTCAGCGAAGAGTTGTCTGTAAATGATCTCGTTGGTGCTTGCCTTCACGTGATGCTTAAAAGATGAAGTAGCTGAATTCGTGCATTTTCCCAAGGTGGGATTTCAAAGTTCTGCACTGCTTGGGGATGCATATCAGAGAACGTTCCTCAATGACAGGGTGAACTCTTAAAGGAAAGGTAGGAACGCAGGATGGACATGTTTCAAATAATGTGTTACACACATTATCAAGTAAGCACAGCTTCTTAGGATGTTCAGGTTGAGATAGAATATTAAAATATTGCAAAAGGGACAATTGCTCACGCCTCAGATAAAGTGATGGTTCGTTACAATCAACATACAGGCTCTGGACAGGAGAAGTCCTGAAAGCTTCTGAACAAATCCGCAGAGCTGCAAAAAATGGATAGAGGTATATCCGTCCATGGAGCCCAACATGAGAACACAGAATGCTGTGTTAGGGTAGCCAGACCTATACGCAAACTGAAGCC